CCTTGCCTTCACACCAGCATAGCCTCTCTCATTGTCAACATCCCCCACCACAGTGATACGTTTGTTACCAACATTGTTGATGAGCCTACATTGAAACATCATAATCACCCAAAGTCCCTAGTTGACATTATGGTTCACTCTTGGTCTGTACATTCTATGGTTTGGACAAATGTATAATGACATGACATGTATCCATGATTACATGATTACAGAGTATTTTCACTGCCCTGAAAATCTTCTGTGCTCCAACTATCCATCCCTCCCTTCCCAGAACCCCTGGCAACCACCGATCTTTTTACTGTCCCCATAGTTTCGCCTTTTCCAGAATGTCACATAGTTGGACTCATATGGTATGTCTTTTCACATTGTCTTCTTTCATTTAGTAATGGGCATTTAAGTTTCCTCCTTGTCTTTTCTGGCTTGATGGATCACTTCTTTTTAGTCTAGATAACATAGCATTGTCTGGATGTACTACAGTTTACTTATCCGTTCACCTGCTGAAGGACATCTTGGCTGCTTCCAAGTTTAGATAATTATGAATAAAACTGCTACAAACATCTGTGTATAGGTTTTTAATGTGGTTGCTACTTGTGTTAATCTAGACTGAGAAGCAGTCTCTCATAAACTACCAGTGAGTAGGCTAACTTTGGTCCCCAAAGTTCTTTCCCACAACTGCTCTAGCCTCCTCCAATCCATTCTCCATGCTGCAGCCAGAAAGAACTTTGTAAAAAAAAATTGTGCATCTGATGTGATGTCTTCCTGCTTAAAATCCTCCGGTGGCTTCCATTACTTTCAGAAAAAAGTCCAAATGCACAATCTGATCCCTGATCACCTTTCCAGCCTTAGTTCCTTACTCTGTCTCTCCATCTGTGTGCTTCAGTCAGCTCTTTGAATTTGACATACTCCTTCCTACTTCTCTCTGGAAAGTTTTTTCTACCCTTCTTCACCTAATTAGCTCTACCTCATTTACATTCTTTAGATCTTCACTCAAAATTTTACTTTTTCTGGAAAACTTTCTCCGAACCCATCCCCCTTCCAACTGCCAGATAAGGACACTGGTTTCATTCTAAGCTTCCCTGGCATTCTGAACTTTTATCTGTAGTAGTCATTTATTAACTGTGTACTTCTCTAAACAGTGAGCTCCTTGAGAGCGGGGACCACATCATTTGTTGTGTTCACCACTGTCTACTCTGAGTTCAGCACAGTGCTTGGCCAATAATAGATGTCCTCTAAATACTCATTAAATAAATGTAGTATTATTTATTGTTATTAAGTATTGGGAGCAATCCAAATGCTTAACTATTGAGAAATATTTAGTTCATTAATATGCATCTACTTGATTAAAAGTAATGCTGCCTTTGAAACATATAATTATAAACATAACAAACTCAAAGGTTTATAGAAGTGTTAATGATAAAAGCAGAATGCAATATTCTGTTCATTTGATGCTTTCAACTTGTTTAAAAATGTAATAGTATTAAGACCATAAGAGATAACAGAGAAATAGGTTAAAGAATTATTGATTGTCTCAATGTTCATGAAATATATAAGATAAGGATAAGACTGAACTTTGTAGCATGCTGTATTTTTGTGTGTGTGTAGCGGGGAGGTAATTAAGTTTACTTATTATTTTAATGGAGGTACTGGGGATCGAACCCAGGACTTCATGCATGTTAGGCATACAGTTTACGACTAAGCTAGACACTCCCCCTCTGCCATATTTTTTCGTGTATCAAACATTGTATATTTAATGATGTAAAAATTATATGATTTTGAAGTTTAAAAAAGTTCTCCAGTAAACCCGGTGGAACCAGGTACTTTATAATACTGTCTTTGTTAACTATCCAGATGTTTTACTCTGTTATTTATTTCAGTTCTCAGTTTTTAATTAAACCAATTTCACTTTTCTGCCTATTTAAAAATTCATTTATTTTATCAAATTTCTTAATATATGTTTTAGTCAAATACAATCTCTCTTTCTCATTATATTAGAGGAAGAAATCTACTAGAGTTTCCCATTTACTGATTTTCTTTTAGATCTTGAAGGTAGAAGAAAAGATTAGGAGTTCTCAAGCTTTCTATGCTAAACAAAATAGTGCAGACTTATTAGGTATAGAAAAGAGTTGCTGATATGAAAATATTTATTCAAGAGAAATGAATTAACATACAATACTTAAGAGTAAATGTCCATATGAATAAACATTAAAACTTTGAAGTCCAGATGTCTCAAATAGCACTTTGTATAGGACACTTTAAAGGTTATAAAATACAGAACAAGATAGTTATAAATATAAACTTTATCACAAGGAACATATCAGATAAATGAGTTAGACTGTGAATGACCTGGCTTTCTAAATAATTTACTGCTCAGAATTCTGTTCCTTGTCACACCTGCATCAACAACCCTTTTATTTGTTCAGTGCTCTTTTTAAATGATAAAGATGCTAGTGGCTTGCCTGAAAAAAAAACCAAAAAACCAAACAAGCAAAAAGCAAAACAAACAAGAACAAAACTCTCCATCTTATTAATTAATCAAATAAGTGCTTTTGAATTTTCCAACTTCTTTCTGCCCTTCTATCTATTATTCCTGTTATTTTGTGTTCCTTTGCGATCTAGTTCTTTTTCTAAATTCTTTAAATGTTGATGTAAGTTACTCTGTTTTAATTTTTCTCTCTTACCAATATAGGCACTTAGGGCTATGGATTTTTCTCCACACACCATTTAAGGCATGTCACGGTAATTTGATGAATCCTTAACCGTAAGTCTCCAGCAAAAAGATTCTTTGTGCCCCCCATAGCAGCTAGTGTGCCCACAGTGAATACTCATTGAATGTTTCCCCGTGCTAAAAAAGATTAATACATGAGTGTTTAGATGGCATGCCTCAGTATTTAATCATGCCAAAGCGAAAAATGACTATGTAGGTAGCAGCACAATCCTGAGTCTTAAGAGCCCTCTCCTCACTGTGGTATTGTTGAGTTGTATTGATTTGCTCAGTCACTCCCAAATACAAGTTTTTTGACATCGTAAGTCTTAGAATCCATTGATCCTTCTTTTTTTCTTCCACCCTCTGCCCCGGCCATCATCATTTCCCGCCCCGTCCACCTAAGAATGCATAATCCAAAAGGTCAACCACTTTCCTATTGATAATCTAAATTCATATGCCATACTCTCCTTTAAGAAATTCTCAGAGGTAAAAGTTTTCTTTTTTATGTCATGAAGAATTGCAAGCTTTCGGGAAAATGTAGAGAGCAATATGATGAACACCACTATGTCTCCACCACCCAAAATTAATAGATGAAGTCAGTTTGAAGCTTCTTATGAAAACATTTCAACTATGCACAAGTGTGAAAAGAAGGAGAGAATAGGATAGTGAATCTCCATTTGTCAATCACCCACCTTCAGTAATCATTGAATCTTTGGCCAGTAAGTGGTACCATTAACCATCCAGTTGCCCAAGCCAAAAATCCAGTTACTAAATTTTAATCCTTTCTCTTGATATCTATCTGGTCAATACAGAGCCATGTTAATTTTATTTTCTAAATGTCTCTCTAGATATGCTCAGATCTTTTCATCCCACTGCTACGATCGTGGTTCAGGCTACCATTGTCTCTCACTTAGATTACTGCGAAACCCTCCCTACTGGTTTGCTTCTCTCTGATTTGTCCTCCACCTGTAATAATGTGGTCCCCACTCTTAAAAAGTATGCAGTAAAATCTTTTGGTGTGCAGTTCTGTGAGTTTTAACACATAAATAGATTCATATAATTACAACCACAATTAGGACACAGAACAGTCATCACCCAACAAACTCCTTTGTGTTACCCCTTTGTAGTCACTCTCCTTACCGTAACCTTTGGCAACCGTGGGTCTGTTCTTCATCAGCAATGTGTCTTTTTGTTATTATTTAATTTTTAAATTTTTAAAATTTTAACGCATTTATCGTGGTATAATACCCGTACAGTAAACTACAGTAATGTGTCTTTTTAAAATGTCTATTTGTTCATGTCACTCTCCTCCTTAAAATTCTTCTTTGGCTCTCCACTGTAAGCAGCAGCCCTTTCCTAACTCTCTAGTCTCCTCTCTCATCACTCTTAGGGTCTAGCCAGACTGAACATCTCTACCACTCCGATTCACTATTCCCTTTGCTGATTTCAGGCCTTCCTACCTACTCTTCACTCTGGGGGTCATGCAATAACTCCTCCTCACCTCAGATTCCTTCACTTTTCAGATCTTGGCTTAAATGCTCTTTCCTTCAGGAAGGCTTCCCTATTCATATTAGGCTGACTCTTGATGTTCGGTGCTCCCCCCTTTAGGATATATTTCACACATCACTGCAATTACTGTATTCAACCATTTTTCCTTCCAGACTGTAAGCTCTGAGAGTCTGGGCTATGCTCATTTTTGATTTACCACTTAATCACCAGCCCCCAGCATTTAACAAGAATTCAAGAAATATTTTTAAAATAAATTAGTAAATGCAGTTTTGTGTACTGTGCAATCTATTTCTTCATCAAAATAAGATACGTGTTTTAATGGTTTCAGTTGCAGAATGAACATGGAGGAAAGAAATTCATCTTTGGTGGTAGAATTATCTTACCCAGACTTGGTCATCGATGTAGGAAAAGTAACTCTTGGTGAAAGAAACAGAAAGAAGCTGCTGCAGAAAACTGAGAGAGAGCAAGAGACGGAGAAAGTTATAAAGGCTGCGTGTGCTTTATTAAACTCAGGAGGAGGTGTGATTCGGCTGGAAATGGCAAACAACGATGAGCACCCTGTGGAGATGGGGCTGGATTTAGAAGAGTCTTTGAGAGCACTTATTCAGTCTTCAAATTTACTGGCTTTTTTCGAGACTAAGCAACAAGGGAGGCATTATTACATTTTTGTTAAGTCTTGGAGCAGTGACATTTTCCCTGAAGACAGTTCTTTTAAGCCCCGCATTTGTAGCCTGAGTTCTTCATTATACCGTAGATCTGGCACCTCTGTAGTTCCCATGGATTCAAGAGAGGCATTCAATTTCCTGAACAAGAAAAGAGATACAAAAGTCTCCAGGAACGAACCCTGTGGTAAAATTGTCAGGGTTATACATAAAGATCTCTGTAACTCGGATCCTACTTACCAAGTTTTCCAAAAAGACCAGCTTGAATATGGTGAAATCTTGCCTTTCCCGGAGTCTCAATTCATAGAGTTTAAGCAGTTTGCTACAAAACACATTCAAGAATATGTGAAAAACATAATTCCAAAGTATGTCTCTGCATTTGCAAATGCTGAAGGGGGCTATCTTGTTATTGGAGTGGATGATAAGACTAGGAAAGTTCTGGGATGTGCTAAAGAAAATGTTGACTGTGACTCTTTGAAAAAGAAAATAGAACAAGCATTATATAAATTACCTTGTGTCCATTTTTGCCAATCTCAATGCAATATAGATTTCACACTCAAAATCTTGGATGTTTTAGCTGATGGAAAGCTATATGGCTATGCTTGTGTGATCGAAGTGAAGCCATTCTGTGGTGCTGTGTTCTCAGAAGCTCCCAGATCCTGGATGGTGAAGGACAAGCAAGTCTGCAGCCTGACCACTCAGGAGTGGGTGGACATGATGATGGACACAGATCCAGGTAAGAGGGAGAAAACTCCCTCCCTGTCCTTTCTGCCTCTTTGGAACCTTCATGTTCAACAGGTTTCCCTTTGCTTCCTGTGACTTTGAACTCACTAAGCTCTGTGTTTTTTGAATCTTTAGGTAGCCTACTTTCCACACATGAGAAAAGTTTATTGGGAGATTAGAAGCTCAAATCAAGTGTCTTATAATAGGCGGTTTCCCACATCAGATGAAAAGAAAAATTGTTTGGGGATATTGCCTTGCAGTGGTGTACTGGATTACTGGCTCAAGAGCCATGTATTAAATTCTTGGGAATTTTGTGAGCCAATTGTTAAACAGACATAATTAAAAAGTAAGTTATATAGACTTATAGTTACATAAATTATGTTGAAAACAAATATAATAAATATAAAACCTAATTATTTACTACATTTTAGGATTATCTATGTTTGTGAGGTTATTTACATCTATTGTACCTGTATAAAGGAAATACTATAAAATAGAGTTACTCTGCGTTTCTTCCCAACTCTGCATTTAGTGACTTCACACGAGTAGCTTACAATTGTCCATGGTGGGGATATATACACCACAGATACACGCATAGATACGTGTAGTAAAAGAATGTGCTATGTACCATAAGAGAAATACTGACAAAACGCTATCCAGATACAGAGGGTGAAGACTTATGTTGAACGGGAAACACATTCAAACTTACAAATAACATCTCTTTTATGATGGATTTTGGCAACTTTTATGTGTAATAAAGGTACTTGTCTATACAGGGCAAATGCAGTATTATTTTGTCATCATGTCTCAAGTCATACCACCTAGATAGTCATACAATTTAGCCATTCATACGGTCTTTTCCAGTGGTGAAGAGATTAACATGAGTTTCCTTTCTTTGTTAAGATCTTCTATGGTTGTGCAAGGACTTTGAATCTCAGCTGAGTCTGTCTAACAGGCCTCCTCTTAGCAGACCAGTGTATTCCAAGAAAGGCCTGGAACATAAGAAGGATCTCCAGCAACATTTATTTCCAGGTAGTAACTATGGTTTGCCTACTTGACACCAGCTTGTTTCTACATTAGGATAAGGGGAGATAAACTGTTATGTTTGTTTTTTTGTCTTTTAAATCCTGAAAACATGCTCTACAAAAGCTATGTGGACTGAAAATATACTCTACAAAACCTATGTGGATGAGGTGATAATGCGACAAGCATGTGGATGATAAGTAGGTTAGAAATGAGCCCTCATTGACCTCACTGGCTGAGGTAGTAGCACATAGAGAATCCAGGGACATTAGTGCTGTAAAGACCTTTTGGTCTTATAGTTCTCAAATTGGATGATCACCCACATTTCTGGTTATTTTAAAAAGTTCAGACACCTGGTTGCCCATTCCAGACTTAATAAATTAGAATATCTGAAGATAGCATCTCATAATGTGCATTTTTGTCTAACTACTCACATGATTCTGATGCTCATCCATATTGGAAGCCTTTTATCTAGTTCAACTAGAGGCATACGCTGCACTAGGAGCAAAAAACTGCCCACCTCTGGCCAGATTTTCCAGAGGAGTGGTGGTTGTGAATATGAAACAAGAAAATTTATATCAAGATGTAACACAAAACAAATAAAATGAAGATCAATTACAACATCTGTGAACATGTTTTGGGTTTAGGAGAAACAATAGTGTAACAGCACAAAATCATGTTTCAGAACCAAGGACGGTGCCTCTTTTCCTGCTCTCTTCCCTTGCTCCCAGTATGTTAAGCTTTACCTAAGAGTCCTTTGGTGTCTTCTTTCTACATTCCTAGAGAGGAAAAACCACTTGATCAACTCTATGCAGTAAATCAATGGCTTATCTGGCACTAGAATCTGATACACAGATATCCTATATATGTGTAAATGTCTCCTGAAGACCATTAAGTTAATAGATAATGACTGCTCAATTTAAGATTTTATCTTTCACCTTAACTAATTGAGATCTTTGCATTCATTTGCATATCAAATTTATATTTTAAAACTCTTCCTAATAAACAGTATTATATCCAAGAGTAAACATAAACATTGATAATTATTTTCTAAACCAGTAAACTATGTTTGAGCAGAGCTTACTACCATGGAATAAATAATATCTAAAAACAAAATGCTGGGCTTTATACTTATAGAGTGACAACCTATTATTCTGGTATAAAAAATTGATTTAAAAATTAATTTTTCAGGAATTGTACCAAACATTTGAAGAATGGACACTTTCAACACTATTTAAATTGTTCCAGAGCCATAGAAAAAGAATGAAAATTCTCAGGTTATTTTTTTAAATGAGAGTAACAGCAATTGCAGAACTTGACAGATAGTATAAAATAGGAAAACTCAGACTAATCTTACTTATGAATGAAGATGCAGAGACAGAACTCCAGGAATGAAAGGATGAAACAACATGAAGAGAGTTAGTGTTATAATCTATCATTTCTATTCATTTATGCAGAAAAATTATATGATTATCTTCTAATATACTGAAAAGGCATTTGAAAAACCTTAATATACATTTATATTTTAAAAAGACTCAATAAAATAGGAACCTATAGACATTTCTTTAACATTATACTTATGCCTATATGTCTATATCTATCAATATCCCCCAAAGATCATCATGTTAATTGGAAGATACTAGAGGCATTCTATTAAATTCAGGGACAAAACCATCATGTGCAGTACTACAACTTTTGTGAAGTAATTATTGGCCAATGCAATTAGATAAGAGAAAGAAATTAGAGGGATAAAAATGGAAGAAGATAGGACTGTATTCAAGAGACTCTAATGAAAAACTATAAACAATGAAAGAATTCAGATGGAATATAAATAATTGTATTAGTAGCATTACATGAAGCATATGTGAAAATCAATATGCAGAATTTAATATCCTAATATAACAATCAAAGAAAATACCCAATTTCAATAGAAACAAAAAGCTAAAAAATCTAAGATAAACCAATCTGAGAAAAAAGTTAAAATAATATTGAAGGACACAGAAGAATACATGAATCAAATGGAAACATATATCATGTTCTTGAAAGGGAGAGTCGACATCATAAAGTTGTCAATTCTCCCTACATTATTTTATAAACATAATGAGGTATCAATTAAAAATAGAGATTAACTTAATCTAGATAATTTTATTCTAAAGTTCCAGTGGAAAAATAAACAAGCAAGAAGAGCCAGGAAATAAAAACCTGAAAAAGAGCAGCAAGAAGGGCTATCCAGATATTAAGTCATTATAAATCCTCAATAGCATATAATTAGACCAAGGGTACAGAATAGAAGGTCCGGGAATAGATGTAAGCACATGTCAGAATTTAGTTTATGATGGAATTTCCCTCTGAAGTTAAGTGGAAAAGAATAGATCTTTCAATAAAGAGATACTGGTATAAGTGGGTAGCAATTTAGTTTTAAAATGATAGATTCACACTTTATTCCATATACCAACATAAGCTCTGAATGGATCAAGAATTAAAAAAAAATGAAAGCCATTAAGTGTTCTAGAAGAAAATATGGGTAAAACGCCATTATAATTCTGACATGAGGATTAGGAAAATCAAGGTTCAAAATCCAGAAACCGTGAAAGCAGACTGATATATATGATTACCTTTTTTAAAAAGGCATTGTGCATGGCTCAGTACAAAGTCATTGACCAACTGGGAAAAATATTTGCAACTCATATCACAAACAGTCGGCCAATGTCTCTAACATATAAAGAGCTTCCAAAAGCTGATAAGAATTAAGAAAAACTTACCAGAAAAAATCAACAAAGATAATTCAGAGAATATAAAATTCAAATGACTTTCAAACATTTGAAAAGATGCTTACTATTAATCAAAATAAGAGATATGCAGATTAAAATCAGGTATCATTTTTATTTATTGGATTGTAAAAAATTAAAAAAAAATCTGACATTATGTCTTATATCCTGCACTGTGGGGAAACAAGCCTTCTTGGACATTACTAGCAGGAGTTCACATTGGTACAACTCCACTGGAGGACAATTTGGCAATATCTATCAAAATTAGAAATACATTGACCCTTTTACCCAGTAATCCCAATGCTAAGACATTATTCTTTATATATTCCTGTGTGCATATCTATTGTACAAGGTTACGCACTGTAATATTATCATAAAAGCAAAAGATTTCAGGGAAAACCCAAGCACCCATCAGCAGGGACATATGTCACATCCATAAAATAGCTTGTTAAACCAAAAGAAAAGGAAACTATGTACTGATGTGGAACAATCTCCAGCAAATATTGCTGTGTGAAAAGTGCTGAATACTTTGCTACCTATTGTGTGAGAAAGGGGGGAATATTTGTTTGTATTTGCACAAAGAAGTTTTGGAAGAATAGACAAGAAATTAAAAAAGAAAAAAAGTGCGATAGGGGAGTGTGATGGGATCAGGAAGTCAGGAAACAGAGCATATGGTAGTAGGTATGATTTGGTATTTGGACTTTTGGAATGTATTACCTAATTAAAACTATTTTTAAAGCCAATTTTCATTTTCAGAGTCTGCTATTCTTAGTTTGTGAACACTCACAGTGGTAAACAGCCAGTTCATGTTTTGTTTTGCAATTGGACTCCAAATATCAAGAATAGGGATGTCCTCATTATGTTAACTATTACTATTGATTGACAGTAATTTAGCTTCAGATTAAATACAGTAAATGTTTTTCTTGAAAGAAATGCAGTGGTTATCCAAAAAAGAAATTTTATTTGTAACTGAAATTATTGTTACTAAAGAAAGTCAGGGCTTGGGGTAGTAGATCACAATCAACCAGCCCCCAACGACCTTCATCCTGGTACCCTAAACCATTAGGAGTCCTCACTTGATTTCCTGTATTTGGAAAACAACCACTCTGGACACATCAGTGCTCTGTTTCCAAAGATTCCCCTAGGTCCATGGTGAGATAAGTGCTGAGTATGGATACAAAGTTCTGTGCCCTAAGCAGAGAACAGAATGGGAGTTCTGGAAAGAATGAGAGGAGCTTATCAGATGACAAAAGTAGAGGAGGTATTAGAGCCTCAGAGCACACCTACACAAGGGCACAGGGACCCCAAGTCACATGGAGAGTGGTGCACGTGGAGCAGTGACATTTATTGATAACCTAGTCTGACCCCTGTAATTCGCTAAGTGCCATGTGGAATATCAAAGAAATGAAAGGGACACTTCTTGCCTTCATATAATTTCCTAAGGAGGCATTATGTAATTAAGGAAAAATAAGATCTGTTTGACAATGAGGCAAAACATGTTTTGCTACGAACATCAAATGCTTTAGTGACTTTCTCCATTTATCAGGCAGGGGTAGTCTGTGTGGCTTGCAGGGCCATGCGGAAGAGTGAAAACAACTGAGGGTCTGGTATCTGGGACACCACCAGGTTTAGATGCTGGTTATACCATTTCCCACTGGTGTGACCATGGACAAGTCACTTGACCTATTTGAGTTCCCATTTGTTCATACGAAAAAAAGAACAATAAGCCTTGCAGAATTGTGAGAACCAGAGATGTGTGTAAACTCCCTGGTACCATCAACAAATGATGTGTTTTAATGATTTTATACTTCCTTTGGTTTCTAAAGCTCCATTTAAAACATATCCTCATATTACCCTACTTCATCCATCCCATGATGCACACTTCCCCCCACCTTTTAACATCTCCGAAATCTGGACGTGTCTCATAATAGATGCCATTTCCTACTCACCATCACCCAGGTTGCAGGCAAAATCAAGTTGTGTGAATACCTGGTACAGGTGAGAAAGCACCACCGCAAGGAACAATAAATGACTACCAATGAAATGTGAATAATTTCACTGGAAATTACCACTAGAAATCCTGATTCTGATATGTGATCTGAAAACACCACAACAGGATGATAACAATCTCTTCATTTCCCCCTATTTGTAACAAATAATCATTGACATAAGTTTTAAACTTTATGTCAATGCAAGTTTAAACTTATGTCAGTGCAAGTTTATTCTCATGTCACATAATTGTTCCTTGCTCCCTCAGGACAAAGGGGAGACTCCTGTGATGGATACAGTCTTACACAGATTTGTGAGTGATACCAGAGTTTGCTTCAGGAGAGTTATCTCAGGGTCTAATCTCAAGATCTCCCAGTGCAGGACTGTAGGGAGTTCCCTGCTAATAAGGTTTTATGTAGCTCCATCTCCTCCACAGATACTTAATGAGCACCTCCTTCCTGGGAGGGCCCCCCCCTACCTCCATCAATGGGAACTGGTCAGGGACATTTTGAGATTCATGTACTTTAAGAGTAAGAAGGGGAACAAAACAAACATTTCTCAAGCAGCTACAAGGAGCAGATACTTTATACTATTTCATTTATCCCTCACCATAGGAAATGTGCTAGTGGTTTTTTGTTTTGTTTTGTTTTACAGATGAGGGAACAGAGTCTTAGAGAGGTTAAGGAATTTTCAAAGGTCATAAACATAATAAGCACATAGGCTTAGGTGAAATGTGCTGGAGTTTTCAAGGCTTCTTTTCCTTTACTGCAATATAATAATACTGGCAAAATAATAATATGCAAAAATATATAATTTGTCATAAGTAATAAGATTGAGTATAGGAATTAATTTTGATTAATTATAATTATCATTAAAATAAATATGGTTTTGCTCCTAAATTTATAATTCTTTCCATATCTAGTGTCACCAGGATGTCTGAAACGTACTCCCAAATCCCTCTGGAAGGAGCTGTCCTCGCAGAATGAAGGTCTGGAGGAATTAATCAATAAGCAAATATATCCATTCTCCCAGGGAATTTTAATTCTTTCTAGAAGCTGGGCTGTGGATCTGAACTTGGAAGAGAAGCAGGGAGTCATCTGTGATGCTCTGCTGATAACACAGAACAGCCCTCCCATTTTCTACACGATTCTCAGAAAGCCAGACGCAGGTGGGCAAGTCTACTGCACTCACACCGCCCTCACTTTGAAGCAGAAGCTGGTGAACGTAGGGGGCTACACTGGGAAGCTGTGTGTCATGACCAAGGTCCTCCACCTGAGTCCTGAGAGCAATGCAGAGTCCTTGGAGGGTTCAGGCTCTCTGATCGATTACCCTAGGGCCTATGACCTTGTGAACACCCAGCAAATGGAAGTCTTGCTGCAGTCCCTTGTGATTGTTTTGCTTGGCTTCAGATCTTTCTTGAGTGACCAGCTTGGCTGTGAGGTTTTAAATCTGCTCACAGCTCAGCAGTATGAAATCTTCTCAAAAAACCTCCGCAAAAACAGAAAATTATTTATCCATGGCTTACCTGGCTCAGGGAAGACCGTCATGGCTGTGAAAATCATGGAGAAGATCAGGAATATGTTTCACTGCGAGGCAAATAAAATTCTCTACGTTTGTGAGAACCAGCCTCTGAGGAACTTCATCAGGTAAGCAGTTGGGTCTTACTGTCACCAAATGAGGTTCAGTCTGAATTTACTCCACAACCCCCTCAACCCAAACCACCTGGTTCCATGACAGTAAGATGGTAACTTGATCTCTGACAACAGTACTGTGTTTGTAGGAGTATGATGGACTCATTTTCTTCCTTTATTTACTTTGAGAAAACCTGAATGTGTCATTTTAATTTTTACAGTAACAAAAATATCTGCCATGCAGTGACCCGGAAAACCTTCATGAATAAAGACTTTAAAAACATTCAACACATCATCATCGATGAAGCTCAGAATTTCCGCATTGAAAATGGGGACTGGTATGAGAAGGCAAAAACCATCACTCAGAGTGAAAAGGATTGCCCAGGAATTCTCTGGATCTTTCTAGATTACTTTCAGACCAACCATGTGGAATCTAGTGGCCTCCCTGCTTTCTCAGCCCAATATCCGAGGGAAGAGCTCACCAGAGTGGTCCGCAATGCAGATCAAATAGCCAGCTACCTACAAGGAGTATTGCAGGAGGTCAGAAAAAATCCTCCACCTAACATCCCCTCTGGATCCCTGCAGATGCTTCTTGAGGCTGAATGGGCTCAGGGTGTTCAGGGAACCTTAAATATTAAGGAAAACTTGACTCTGGATCAAATAGTGACTCATGTGACAGACACTTGCAAGCGTCTCTTTGAAAGGGGCTATTCTCCCAAGGATGTTGCTGTGCTTGTCAGCACTGCAAAAGAAATAGACTGTTACAAGCCTAAGCTCTGGAGAGCAATGAGGAAGAGAAGGGTAGTGCAGTTCACCGATGCCAGTGACATGGCAGGTGATCACATTGTGTTGGACAGTATCCGGCGATTCTCAGGTCTCGAAAGGAACATCGTGTTTGGGATCCATCCACAGACAATGGGTTCAGCTATCTCACACAATGTGCTTGTCTGTTTGGCATCCAGAGCAAATCAACAGCTACATATTCTGTGGCGTCGTAACATTTAGGAAGAATTCCAAACCAAACAAGATGAAGCAATTGTGATGTGGATGTCCAGAGGTGACAGTCTGCTTTGGCATTTGGGGGAAAATTCTCTTTTCGGTTCACAGGCCAACTAGAAATTTGGGCACCGCTGACACACAGAATTTGGAACTTCCTCTCTCTGGCTCTCTCCATTCAGAGATTCCCCCTCTAACTCCTTCCAGCAGCTATTGTCCCAAATTCTGTCCCCGATTCTTCCATCCAGAAAAATAGTGGTTTTCTAAAGAAGCTTTGCTAACCCTACACAGCACAGGCTATGACCCCTGCCTGTGGTTAAAAACCATAAAAACAATACAGTCTTCCTTTGTGGTCATTCTTTCTTTCAAGTCTGGACCTCGACAGTGACTTCATGAAGTTTTTTTTTTAATTGTCCACGGTTTATAGTTATCTGCAGAAGAGTGGTCCGCTAGGAGCTGACTTGGCCATACCAGAAGCAGAACTTGAATTCTTGACATTTCTCTTTGCTATATTGATGTAGGACTTAGGAGATTCCCAAGATAATTCAGTCAGCGACTGAGTGAGTCTTAAATCATTTTGGCAGAATAAACAGCGCTGGTACAATTATTTAATCCTTTAAAATAGTTATCCCCATTTTCTTTGCCCTCAGGATAGCCCTTATTGAGCTTTAATTGTGATAGTAAGCATTAATTGTCACTTTACAGAGAAATTATAGGCCAATAGAAAACAAACAAACAAAAAATCCATTTTCTCTGGGTTTTAGTGAAAGATAGCATTAGAGACCAAAATCTTGTTCTAAAGGTGTGTATGGGCTGTTAGGTAAACAGAACTAGGAAAGACATAGATCAACGAGTTAACATTGCAGTTTCTCAGCTCTGCTCTGCTTACTGTTCTGTAAGATACCAACTTAAATTTTAAATTAAGTATGTTCTTGAGCTGTGATTTTTCCCTTTTATATTTTGGTGGGTCATCGTTATGGACTGAATGTTTTGTGTCTCCCCTAGAATTTGTATGTTGAAGCCATTAATCCTCAGTGTGGCCGTGTTTGTAGATTTGGAAGGAAGTAATCGGTTAAATGAAGTCATAAGAGGGAGCTTTGATCTGATAATCTGATAGGATTCAAGTCCTTATAAGCAGAGACACCAGAGAGCTCTCTCTGTCCGTTTCTCTGTACACACACAAAGAATTTCATGTGAGCATAGAGGGAAACGGTGGCTGCCTACAAGCCAAGAGAAGACCTCAGAGTGAAACTAACCCTATTGACACCATGACCTTGGACTTCTCAGCCTTTACAGTGGTGAGAAATAAGTTTCTGTTGCATAAGCCACCCAGTCTGTGACATTTTGCTGTGGCAGCCTGAGCAGACGAATATAGCCGTAGAATTATTCTTCTAACTAAAACAGTGATACTCAATAATGCTACTGCAATTACTTACTTGTTTTTCTGTCTATAAGAACCCTTTTAAAACATAAATCCAAATAATAACAATAAAATATTCCTATAACTGATGGAAACTTAAAACAGTACATGGCTAATATTCCATTTATTAGTAATCTTATTCTACTGATTTGTCTCCATAATGCAAAGTTTGAATTTCTCTGCGTATCTTTCTCGTATGTGTTTGCTCATGGAATTCCAGCTCCTTGCCTTAAAACCGTAGGTCTTCTAACTTCAGAAAAATAAGATATATCATCAAATCAGGGGGGAAAAAGTTCTTTCTTTCTGACTGCATTAAATCAGATACAACTCTGCACCAGTTATTCTTGTAAATGTTGTTTCTAATAAATTGGTTTTGTAAGATCTCTGGACCTCAGAGTTGCAATGTCTGTGAAAGTAATTCTTATAAAGTCTAATCCTGGGGGGAGGGTATAGCTTGGTGGTAGAGTGCATGCTTAGCGTACATGAGGTCCTCGGTTCAATTCCCAGTACCTCCATTAAAAAAATAAATGAATAAGCCTATTTATCTCCCCCACTCCCAGAAAAAAGCAAACAAATCAAAACAAAAAAAGTCTAATTCTTACTGATTGTGTCACTTAATGATTTATGTATTGCCCTAGTAATAATATTTTAAAACAATATCATATTTTTAAACTGTATACTCAAGTGTCTGTTTAGACAGAAGAGGATTACTGATGCTGCCTTCTATTTCCATATGAATGAAGAAAGTTTTTACCTTGTATATCTGCTGCATTTCTGTTTTAGGTCAAAATTTGAGTTTGTGTCTCACTAAACTGGAAAAAAAATGTTGCTCTAAAATAAATGATTAAATTGGGGGAAAAGGGAGCGCTGAGGCCAGTATATAGGGCCAAATATGAGCCAGCAAAAAGTTAAACAAGATTAACCTCTGACTGGGTTTTGCTGGGGTTCCCGCCTGCCTGCAATCTGGCTCTAGCCATTTGGGACCTAACTTCACTAAAGATCTGAAAATGTACCCAGCCATTATAAAATAAAATAAGATGTTTTTTAATTTTAAATTTAATTTTTATTCTGGAACAGCTTTAGACTTACAGAAGAGGTACAAAGGTGGTTCAGAAAGTTCCCATATACCCCTCACTCACTCCCTTGTTTTGTTTGTATCTTATATCTGGTTCATTTGTCACAACTAAGGAACCAACCTTACCACTCTATTCTATTAATTAAACTCCGCACTTTATTTCAGTTTCTTAGTTTTTCCCTTAATGGCCTTTTTCTTTTTGTTCTGGGATCCCATCCAAGATACTACATTACACTGAGTAGTCATGTCTTTTTAGCTTGTTTTGGTCTGTGACAGTTCTCAGGCTCTGTCTCTGATGAGAGGTACTAGTCAGGCATTTTGTAGGATGCCCTTCAATTTGGGTTTGCCTCATATTTTTCTCATAATTAGACTGGAGTTATGAATTTTTGAGAGTAAGACCACAGGGTCAAAAAGTCATTCTCATCACATCGTATCAAGGACATAGGCGATCAACGTGACTCATCACTGATGATGTTAACCCTTCTCACCTGACTGAGGTAGTGTTTGCTAGGTTTCTCCACTATAAAGTTCCTTTTCCCCCCTCTTCTGTGGGAGTGCAAACTTGGGTTAACAAACTTTGATATTGTAATGATTGCTTTTACCAAATCATATTCTCACCTTTATGTATTCTCACCTTTATGTAAGCACATGAGAAATGTATAATCAAAACCAATGCTTTCTATGTTTGTCATTATACTGCTACTTCACAGCAAAATGTCTAAGAGCACACAAGGCTGATCTCTCAATACCAGTCACCACCTTATCTATAGAACTTAGCTTAGTTGCCTTAAAGCTGCTTTGCTGGCAGGAATCTGCTACAATCTGTCTCCTTGCCGTAAAAAGCAGAGACGGGCTTTGGTCGCTTCCCTTAGTTCAAGGTCATAGATTCAGGGCTGCTTGTGCTTATGGAAAACAATAACTTGTCCCTTGCCCCAGCTGGCAGGACATGCTTTGCTTATCAGGCATAGGTGAATAGAGTAGGCTGCTCCTGCTCATGGAAGACTGTGACTAAGCCCTTAGCTGGGAACAGCTGGGCTGCTTTGAATGCTTAGACAATTTCTGATCATTATATGGAGACTCTGTGGTGGTCTGGTTTTCATTAACAATTGTTCAGAACACTATAACCTTGCTCATGATTGTTTGAGGTTTGAAATAACTGTTTGTACTATCAACTGTATACTTCCTGGAAGGTTATAATGTTTCCATTTTTCAAGAACTGAACCTACTAATCTACATCTCTGTGCTGTACACCATGCCCCTTACTCATTCCTATGATGTATTTTACTTTGATTCTTTGTTTGACTATTCTCAATAAATACAAGAGCTTTGGAGGAGCTCGGGGAGTTGGTCTCCAGCTCCCTCTCACTCTCCTAACCTGATAAAGTCTTGAGTAATTTCGTTCTTCTGTGGTGGGACTTTCGCTGGACAAAACCCACAACAAACAAAACCCACAGCTGGTAACCCCAATGTGATCACCATTCACAGCGATGAGAACCCACACTCTCCATGTCAGTAAGTGCAGCCCACACTCAAAGGATGGAGATTGAAGATATATCTCCTTGAAAGGATAGTATCTACATAAACTAACCAGATTTCCCCCCCCATTTCCTGGTGTAATGCTTTAAAATACTTTAAAATCTTTTAATTTAATTTTTAATTGAGTTATAATTGCCACACAATATTACATTAGTTTCAGGTTTACAACATATTAAGGGATTCAGTATTTTTATACATTATGAAATTATTATTATAGTAAGTCTAGTTACCATCATCACCATCCAAAATTATTACCATATTATTGACTAGATTCCTTATGCTGTACATTATATCCCCAGCACTTATTTATTTTTTTAAACGGAAGTTTGTAACTCTTAGTCCCCTTCACCTATTTCGCATGTCCCCCCATCCCTCTCCCCTCAGGCAACTACCGGTGTTTCTGTTCTATTTTGTTTGTTCATTTGGTTTGGTTTTTAGATTCAACAAATAAGTGAAATCATATAGTATTTGTCTTTCTGTGTCTGATTTATTTCACTTAGCATAACACCCTCTAGGTCTATCCATGTTGTCACAAATGGCAAGATTTCATTCTTTTTCATGGCTAAGTAATATTCCATTGTAAAAATCTACCACATCTTCTTTATCCACTCATCTCCTGATCAACAAGCAGGTTGCTTCCATATCTTGGCTACTATAAATAGTGTTGCAATGAACATAGGGGTACATATATGTTTTCTAGTTACAGTTTTCATTTTCTTTGGATAAATACCCAGAAGTGGAATTGTTGGATCATATGGTAGTTCTATTTTTATTTTTTTGAGGCACCTCCATACTGTTTTCCATAGTGGCATCACCAATTTACATTACCATCAACAGGGCACAAGCCTTCCCTTTTCTCCACATCCTCACCGATACTTATTATTTTCTTTTTGATAATAGCCACTTTGACAAGTGTGAGATGGTAACTCATTAGTTTTTATTTACATTTCCCTGATGATAAGTGATGTTGAGTACTATTTTATTTGCCTGTTAGCTATCCGTATGTCTTCTCTGGAAAAATATCTATTCAGGTCCTCTGCTCATTTTTTAATCAGGTTCTTTGGTTTTTTTGACATTGAGTTGTGTTAGATCCTTATATATTTTGGATATCAATCTCTTATCAGAGATATTATTTGCAAATATCTTTTCTCATACAGGACATTGCCTTTTCATTTTGTTGGTGATTTCCTTTGCTGGGCAGAAGCTTTTTAAATTGATGTAGTCCTTTGTTTATTTTTGCTTTTGTTGCCCTTGCCTGAGAAGACAGATCCTCCCCCAAAATATTGCTAAGACTGATGTCAAAGAGGTTACTACCTATGTTATCTTCCACAAGTGTTATCATTTCCAGTCTTATATTCAGGTCCTTAATCCATTTTGAATTTATTTTTGTATATGGTGTAAGCAAATTGTTCAGTTTCATTCTTTTGTATGTAGCTGTCCAGTTTTCTCAACACCATTTATTGAAGAGACTGTTTTCTTCCCCATTGTATATTCTTGCCTCCTTTGTTGTAGACTGTTGACTATATGAGCATGGGTTTATTTCTGGGCTCTGTATTCTGTTCCATTGACCTGGGTGTCTGTTTTTATGTCATTTCCATACTGTTTTGATTAATATAGCTTTGTAGTATAGCTTCAAGTCTGGGAGTGTGATACCTCCAGCTTTGTTCTTTTCTCAGGATTGCTTTGGTTATTCAGGGTCTTTAGTGGTTCCATAAAATTATTTGTTTTAGTTCTGTGACGAATGCCACTGATATATTGCTAGGGATTGCACTGAATCTGTAGATTGTCTTGTGTAGTATGGACATTTAACAATACTGAATCTTCCAATCCATGAACATAGTAAATCTTTCCATTTGTTGTGTCATCTTCAATTTTTTTCCTCAGCATCTTATAGTTTTCAGAGTACAGTTCTTTTACTTCTTTAGTTAAGTGCATTCCTAGGTATTTTATTCTTTTTGAAACAATTATAAATTGCATTACTTTCTTAATTTCTCTTTCAGCTAGTTTGTTATTAGTGTATAGAAGTGCAACAGATTTCTGTATATTAATTTTGTATCCTGCAACGTTACTGAATTCATTTATTAGTTCTAGTAGTTCTTTGACAGAGTCTTTTAAAAGAGTCTTTAAAAAGAGTTTTTTTTTTTTTTAAATCATGAGGGGTTGTTGAATTTTTGCCCCAATTTGGAGCATGAGATGCTGTGGTAAACTGTAATATTGTTCAACAAGGATGGTGCCCCTCTCCAGAAGTAGATTATAGTTTTCTTCCCATTGGTGTTAGGATTGGCAATGTGAATTGTTTTAACCAATGAAATAGGAGCAGATGTGATGTGCATTACTTCTGAACAGAATTTTTAGGATGCATTTTCTGCACCTATTGAGATAATCATATGGTGTTCTTTTTTCCTATTCATGTAGTTAATAGGGTGGTAGATATTCAAATATAAATTACTTTTGGATACTAAATTGGCTCAGAGTAAACCTCTGCTGATCTTGATGTAATGTACTTTTTATATATTGCTGTATTCATTTTATGCATATTTTGTAAGGCTTTTAAAATGTGTCTCTAAGCAAGAGATTGGTCCATAATTTTCCTTTCTTTTAATATGCTTAACAGGTTTTGAAATCATGGTTAGCTGGTCTCATAAAAAGAGCTAGGAAGTACTATCCTTCTATTTTTTTTTCTCCAAAAGAGTTTGTGTAAGATTGGTGTTATTTCTTGAATTGTGTTTGGACTAAATTCTCCAAATAAGAGACAAACATTATTGAACTAGGTAAAAAAAAAAAAAAGAACAACTATATGGATGCCCATGCTGCTAAGATGTGATTTGTTCCCAAGATCTGGCCAATGGAATATTATTGGAAGTTATGTGTGTAATTTTTGTATTGTGCCTTTTAAAAGAAAGAGTGTGACTCTGCCTCCTCTCTTTTCTGCTAGCTGAACTGTGGACAAGATGCCCCAAGATGGGCAGCCTTCTTGGGGCATCAGTCATCTTGGGGCATGGTGCAGTCAATTGTAGTATTTTTCAACAAGGTTGATGTCCCTGCCCAGAAGTAGATCATATTCTCTGCCACTGGTGTCAGGTTTGGCAATGTGACTTGTTTTGATCAATTTAGTTAGCAATGAAATATGACTGTTACCTTTTGAGCAGAACTTTTTAGAGTCATTGAGTGGTTTTGCCATGCTCTTTTCCTTCCGATATAAGATAGGCAATATTCCAGACTCAGCTGCTCTGTCAGTCTGGGTCCTAGAATGAAAACAATGAAGTGTAGAGCTAACCTGGATCCACAACAGACATGTAGGTTAAGTAATAAACTGACATTTGTTGTTTTAAGTCACTGAGACTTTTGGGATAATTTGTTACTAGCAAAACCTGGCTTGCTCTGACTGACAGAGAAATCAGTACTTAAAAGGAAATGCTGCATAATGAAAAAAACTAAAATATATGGCTTTGTTTCCAAGGCTAAGCAATGCACAATGAAAAAGTATTACTGGAGGGTGGGAAGATGGTAACCTATGTTATGTGGTAGTTAAATATTTGACCAAAAATAAGATACTTTCAATAACTTAGAACGAAGATAATGTATTAAACTAAACTATGGGTTAGGAAACAGGTGTTAGTAATTCACCTTGGTTGCTATTTGATAAGGTAGTAAAAAACTTATGTACCTTGAAAAGCATTCACCTTTTTGCAGGCAAGAAGGAAAGAAAATAAGAAAGCCAACACATTTTTGGACTTTTTAGGGTAGGAAGTTGTACATATTTCTCATCTCCAACTAATAAAAGAAATCTAAGGAGGTTGACAAACACCAATTCAAACTCAGCCTCTTGGCAAAGATGCATTTAATGAGGTGGCTACCATGAGTGAAACTTCTGAATCAATTAAATTGGCAGTGAATAAATTATTTCAGTGGACAAAATGGCTTGGAGAAAAGAACTTGAATGCATGGGACCCAATGGAAGCCTGCTGAACTCAAGGTACATGTAATTAGATCTAAAGAGGAAAGTATATCTCAAAAAGAATTCTAGGTATTGACACCTGGAGTTGACTGGAGCCAAATAGATTCAAATACTAACAACAGAAATGTTTTTGAGAAAGTTAAATTGCAAGAGAGTCACAACTTTGACTACAAACCCCAAAACTGTGACTCCTTGAGACTTGAAACAACCGTTGGGCCCCTAACATTCTATAGGCAGGTGCTGTGTTCAGAAAGCTGTTCAGTATCCAAGGAGGGAATAATTCCCAATTCCCTTTTTTAATGTGGCTGAAGAAGGTGATGGAAAAGGAGGAACTCCCTAGGGTGAAACCAAGAACCATGGGGAATAATGGACAGGGGAACCACTTACTGGGAGCAAAACTGATCAAGGAGCCCTCTCCACCCCAGGTCAGAAGTCCAGGTCAATATCTGCCCAGGAGGATTTCCGAATTTCTATGGACCAGTGACTTTAATGTGCCTCCCATTCTCCCCCTGTCTGAATGGGAATATTTACTGAAGTTGTCCTATTACTGTTTCACATTGCATAGTTTGTATGTGTTGCATGTATATGGGGAAGGAGAGGAAGGTAGATAGCTTGTATGTCTAATTCATAAATCTCCAAAAAGAGTCATATCCAGGCCTGATATGAAGACTATCACAAGATCTGGACTTTGCCTATCATGAGAACTCCCATTGGGATGGAATTTTTGAGTTGTTTCCTTTAGAGAGGAAAGTATATCTTGAATATGAAAGCAAGTATTTGTGATACATTGTATTATTTTCCAAAATATTTTCTGTACCTCCTTGGGTTAGGCTTACACTTCCTGCCCTATTAAAATCAACGTTGGCTGAGTGATTTACTTTGGCCAATTAAATGTGAACAGAAGTGATGTGTACTACTCTGAGCAAAAGCTCTAAGAGCCATCATGCAGTTTCTCCTTGTTCTTGTTTCCTTCTGCCATAAGAGTGGTGATGCTTCAGGTAGGGGGTTTTCTGGCAGCCCAGATTCCCATGTGAGAAGGATGTGAAGCAAAGCAAAAGTGAACCCCCAAGAGACATGAAGTATAATGAAGAAACAAAATTTTTGTTGTAAGCCATTGAGATGTTGGGATGGTTTATGCCTGCACCATGACCTGGCTATACTGATTAACATGTGAAGCATGTTGAGTGAGGCAGAGCAACAAAATGGGAGGAGTCTTGGACTTTGATGACTTCTCAGAGAAGAGCTAACACATCATTTTTAACTTCTCTATGAGAAATAAACTCCTAATTTCTTTAAGCCATTGTTAATTTGGGATTTCTTTAAAGCATCAGAACCAACACCCAAACATATGCCAAACTTACCCTCATCTTCTTTCATACTAAACCATGGTCCTCTCCTCTTTGTCTCTCTTACTCATCTTAGGTAGTGAAATGTCCTTGTTCATATATCAACTTCTGTCTGCCACACTATTTATCTTTCCTGTGTCTACAGAGTCTGCTATTTCCTCTCACTCCATGTTGTAGGTTGAGTTCTCTGGAAGCAGATACTGAGCTGGAGTTTCAGGTATAAGATATTTATGACAGAGCAACACCATGAAAAGATTGGGAGGAAGTAGAATTGGGCAGAGGAAGAGGTTGAACTGTGATGCAGCCCTCAACAAACCTCAGCAAACATGGTAGGATGCTGAGCAGTGAATTATGCCCAACAGAGTTGTCTTGCATTGAGCTGAATGGCTGAGACTTTATATTGTCCATATCTCTTTTTCCAGTTGTTAGTTGTAGGTTGTGAGCCTGCGAATGGCTCATGATCCCAAGCAATGCAGCTCATCGCAGCTGAGGCAGGCCCTGAAGGACCTGACATTTAGAGGCTGTCTGCCAACTGCCCTCTCCAAATCTGGGCAGCAAATCCTCCTTTGAAGGAGGATCTGTGTGGTGCATCCCCATGTCTACCCCACCCTACCTTCCTACAACCTCCCTTTATTTTCTCCTGTATATGGCTGTAATCATCTCATTCCCCCAAACATACTTCTTATCTATTTCCCTGTTCATGGCATCAATCGCATTTACGATGTATTTCATGTCGTTCTGAAGAGCAGGATTCGGTTGCCTTTATACACTGAGGAATATATATAACCCCAAACTCCATAGCACTTGTTTTCACTCTTTCTCTTGACTCTGTACATGATACAAGGGGAAGGGAGGAAGGGTCAAAGTGTTCTGTTCAATTTCTTTTACTTTATAGCAGAAAAAAAAATCTATCCATTTGCAGTCTGAACATCCCTAATTTTCTAGCTATCGGTGTGGCTGAGAGTTTTAATGCCCAACTAATGTTGTCTGAGCTCTCCTTATGTGTAAGTACAGGTTTGGTCTCGTACCTAGTTTCCCTGCATTATGATTTCCAAGAATGCCATGCCAGAACTGATTCCATGCTCCTAGGATTTCTTCTGGTACTCTCCCCTCACTTTTAGCTCTGGACTGCTATGCCAAGACCTCTGCTGGTTACCTCCTTGATTGACATGACACCTCCTCCAAGCTCTGCCCCCTCCATGCTCTTTTGTATCCCAAGAAATCAAAGGACCCTTATTTCCCAGTTACAGGAAACGTCAGGCCCTAATGTTAGCAAAACCTAGTAAAGGTTTGCTTACAGTGAGAGGCAAGCATTTGAAATTAGATATTAGATGTCACTGGGCCCAGAGTCCTTTGACCATAGATTATTCTGATCGCTTTTTTCTCTCTTTGTCCCCGTGCCGCCTCCTACTGCCAGTTTTCTTTTCCCTGAAACATTTGAGAGTAAGTTGCAGACATGATAATCCTTTACCACTAGTACTTCAACGGGTGTTTCCTAAAAATAAGGACATTCACAGTACAATCATCAAAATCAAGAAATTAAGATTGATACAATACTATTGTGTTATCATAAAAAGGGGGCCCACGAAAAGCAAAGTGGCAAGCGGGCTGTATCCCCTGAGAGAAACCATCGGAGTCGCTCTGGACTAATCATGCCAGATGGCCTCAAGGTGCTCCTTACACCACCAGGGGTGTGTGTCCGAATCTGCCTCCCGCGGAGCCGCTCGCTTTTCGCCTCTTTGTCCTCTCGTTCAGTAACAGCAGCTCCCGCCCGGTCCCCAGCGGCAACTGCGCCTTAGGCAAGAGGACAGCAGTATTGCTTGGGGAATACGAGTAGAACTGGAAAGGTCCGAGTAGGATCACCCCACCAGAAGCCTGATACTCCTTCAGTAATGATCAGCCAGATAAATGACAGTCGCGCCAAAGCTCAGGGTCGCTCACCTCGCGTGCGGGCACTTCCCGAAACGTTGATTGGCTGTCGCGCTGCGGGCGGGAAGGGTCGTGCTCGGTGCTGGACGGCAATGTGCGGAAGGACTGAGACCCGGGTCCCGCGAGCGAGCGCACAGACCCGGACTGTGACGCGAACCTCGCCTGTTTTTGTTTTGTTTTCTTTAAATGAGCTCCGTTCTTTCAGTCTCACCGTGCAGAATATAGAAAATACAGATAACCAAATATGAAAGGAGAAATCTCCCGCCACGACGAAGAGATACTCACGTGGCTGTTCAATGTCCTGTCGTCTCACTAGCAAAGTTTCAGGAGGGGCGGGGTGGCGTCGCCATTCTCCGGAGGCGCGGTCTTTCCGCCCCTTCATCCGCTCGCCTCGCAACTGGAGAGCTCGCGCTCCTGTAAGGAATCCTGCGGCCCCGAAGCAGCGCGCCTGGGTAAGTTTGTACCCCTCCATAGCCAAATATTCGAATCCTAGCTACTTACTCTCTTTAAGTCTAGTCTGCTGGCTCCCTGACGAGGTGAGACGCAGCCAGCACAACCCCACCCCTCCTATCTCCTGGGGAGGACCCCCACCCCACCGCTGTTCTCTCCAATCTGGGAATTTTGGAATCATGACTGTTGTCTTCGTAGCAACATCTACCAGAAAGCTAGGGGCTGTTAAGGACTTGGGACCCGAGCACTTGGGAGCTTGAGGTCAGAGCACGACGTCTTCTTCCCCTTCATGGGCTAGAAAAACGCCTTAAAGAGCCTGGGGAGCCAAGTTGCAGTTTGACAGAGGCTGTGTGGGCCGGGGGAGAGGAATAGCAGAGTGCTGTAGGTAGGGACAGTCGGGCAAGTGCAGGTCTCCAGAGCTCCTTGGGGGTGCTCTGCGCTCCTGGGGTCTGAAGTAAAGGGAGTTAGGGAATAGGTTCTGTAGGTAAAATGTGGCTGATCAGTCACTGATGAACTGTCTTCTCATTCCAGAAAGAGAAACCAAGCACAGTAATGCCCTGCAGATATTTCTCATCTAAAAGTGGTGGTGGTGAGAACCATACCCGCCTAAACTAAATACAAATTGCTGTAGGAGGAGGGCAAAGAAGCGCCATGGATTTTATTCCTGAGGTACTTCCTGTCTCACTTTTCTGTGCAGTTCCCACCAACCTGCACTGTAGAATAACTGAAGAGATGTGACTGTCATCCTCTTTTCCATTAAAAATAGCTAACAACACAGCCTAAATCCCCAATCCAGGTTGGACAGAATTTTCTCCACAGTCAAAAGTATAAAAGATGTCAAAGGAAACAACTAACCTGTAAACCTAGATCCAAGTTTCAGGTGAGGTCAATGATTTTAAAGCCCTAGGACGTAGGCTCCAGTCCCCAGCATAGCTTTTAAGGATTATGTTCCAGATGTATGCCTGAAGGTAGTGGTTTTGAACCATAGAAAGTTCTACATAGCTACAGTGTTGGACTGACATGGCTAGGATCCCATGCTAACCCCAAAGTTCTGTGTCCTCTATAAGGTGGCTCAACTACAGCTCCTATGAATTCCAGGTTGCCCAGCAGTATGGGAAGGCATCCTTCTTAAGCACTTCAGGTGTCAGATGTTCATATGGTGGGTCAACCAGAAGGATTCAGAGGGTGTTGTAAGGTAGGTTGAGAGGAAAGTTGAGAGGATTCTAGATACAGAAGCTGCAAGAAGAAATGGGAAGCAGGGACTTCTTGGCAGGGTTTGTATTACCAGAAGATAGTAGGACTAGGGCTGTGTTCCTGGGCAAAATGGAACTGTCTCTCCTGCAGCCCTTCAGGATAGAGTGGAGAGTCTTTTCTGTCACGTCGGCAGGAAAGATGCACCTGTTTGAGGCAGCCCTCGTGTCTAAGAAATATGAAGAAACTGGGTCTAAAGAACACTAGTTGTGCTATAATATTGTGGAGAAAGTGTAGCATGACTACATATCTCCCTCTGCTTTTTTTCCTTAACTGTGCAATATTAAGACTTTTACTAAGTTTTAAATTTAAATGACCTTGCTTACTTTGTTTCATTGTTGTTTATCTACCAGGAGTAGAGACTTACTCTGTTAGTTTCTCTTTGGCGGGGACCTCCTCAGGGTCATGTTCAAAAGCCTTCTTCTAGGGACCCAGGCCCAGGAGGCCTATTTGAATGAATGATTAGGTCCTTATATCTCTTGGTAAGACAGCTTCCTTCTGGCTTAGCTCTGAGTTTTGGGGCAATCCTGGGGAAATAGTGCTGCCTTCTAATAGACTTGAAACCATAGCTTTCTCCCCTCCCCACAAAAGGTGCAGGTCACAGTCCTGTAATCCTCCCTAAGATAAAGTTGCTAGAGAAAAATCAGATACAATTCTTCAGCAAACCATTTGACAATATATATATATCTAGATCCTTAGATATTTCATCACTGGGTCTGGTAAATTCAACTTTTAGAAACCTCTTTGTGTCTGTATACACTTATATAAACATATAATTTTAGCTTATTTATGTACCCAAGACCAAGTATAACCTCATGTTTTTAGCTTCAACCTTTATTTCCGCAGATCTAAACTCTTTCTTCACTTACATGATTTTTCCCCTATAAGGGTCCATTCCTACTACAGGAAAGAAGCTTGTTTTGGCCTCCATTCCCCATCCCCAAAAGTCTTTACGTATGTTTGAATCATATTTATATGGAGAGTTGAAGTACTTTGCCAGGGGACTCTTAGACAAAGTGCAAATTAGGAGATGTGATTAGCATATCCAAGTCTCAGTATAATGATTCAAGATCCTAGTATAGTTATATTGAACAATTAAAAGCAACTTCAATTCCCAGCTGTAGGGGGATAATTAAATAATGGTATGGTAATACTCTATATGAAATTATGAAGCAGTTAATAAGGTTTTTAAAGAATAGCTAATCATTATTTTATAAAATGATTATTTATAAATAGTATTACATGGAAAAGCAAGACTCAAAACTGTTTGTGTAGTTTAATATGAACCAGACCATGACAGACTTTTCCACTAAAAAAAACAAAACAAAACTTGTCATGTTAGGTAAATGTTAAAAGAATAGAAAAACAGCTTACATCTCCAACTTAGGAAGCTACTATAACCTTGACACGAACATCTCTCAACAATAATATTAAAAAGGACAATTATGAGACAGTCTCACTCATGATCATAAATGTAAAACCTTAAGCAAATATTATAAATCAAATTCAATATTAAGAAATAATAACAGGAGTGATATCAGCAAAATGGTGGATGTTTCCCCATGGAAACATAAAAAACAACCAGAAGCTGGATGAACCAATAGTCAGAGGTTTAAGGCAACTAAATAAACCTATCAAGAAAATGTCACATTCAAAACTATGGGAAATTTCATGACGTTTTTGCTTGCCCTCACCTCAACCTCCCCCCAGCAAGGCAAGGTCTTTGGAGGAGGTAGCAGCCCAGTTCCCACTTCACTCCTTTGAAATGGAGGTGCCAGAACAGGCCTTATTTGCAGTGTTCTAAACTGTCTGGGGGCTACCTGAGGTCTCTGTATCACCTAACTCAGATCTCAGGTGGGGAAAAGTGGCAGCCACTGCTCATGAATGCTTCAAGGAGACTGTAGACTTGCAGATGCCTGGGATAAAAGATTACAGTTGGAGACATACCATAACCATCTAAAGCCTGGAGGAGGAGCGAGGTGAGATTTTCAAAACAACTATATAGAGAGAAATTGAGTAAGGCACAGGCAGGACTTATGTTCTTCAGAAAAGACCTGAGAAGACCTTAAGCTTTCATGTGAGGCTGATTCACTATGCACAGACCATCCTCAGCTAATCAGTGAAGGACTTCCCTAGCACAGAGCCAGTCTGCAAAGACTGAGAGAGGTGGCTGTTTTCTCAGATGCCTGATTTTTGACAAAAACTTGCAAGGCGTACAAAAAAACAGGAAAACATGGCCCATGCAAAATAAAAATAACTAAAATGGCAGAACCTTTCCCTGAGGAAACCCAGATATTATATATACTAGATGATGGCTTTAAAACAACTGTTTTAAGTCTGCTCAAAGAGCTAAAGGAATAAATGGACAAAGAACTAAATAAATCAGGAAAATAATATGTAAGCAAAATATCAACAAGCATAATAGAAATTATACAAAGAAAACAAATTCTAGAGCTGAAAAATACAATAACTGAAATGGAAAAAATAACAGAGAGGAGTTCAACAGCAGATTTGAGAAGGCATAGGAAAAAAATCAGTGAACTTGAAATTATCCAGACTGAAGAGCAGAAAGAAAAGAATGAATAAAAGCAAACAAAGCCTTGGGGGTTTGTGGGACACTATCAGATGGACCAATATAGACATTACATGAGTCCAGAAGTAGAAGGGGGATTATTTGAAGAAATAATGGCTGAAAACTTCCTAAACTGGATGAAATATGTGACTCTATAGATCAATAATCTCCCAAGCAGAATAAACCCAAAGAGATCCACACCAAGACACATTATAATCAAACTATCAAAAGCCAGAGGCAAAGTGAATGTAGAAAGCAGCAAGAGAGAAGCAACTCATCACTTACAAGGGATCTTCAAGAAGATTAACAGCCAGTTTCTTGGCAGAAACCTTGGAGGTGGGAAGGCAGTGGGATGAAATAGTTACAATGTTAAAAGGAAGAGGAAACCTGTCAACTGAAAATTCTATTATCTGTCAAAACTGTCTTTCAAAAATAAAGGAGAAATTAAGATACTCCCAGACAAAAGCTGAGGGAGTTTATGGCCACTACAGGAAATGCTGAAGGGAATTCTTCAAGTTGAAATGAAAGGATTTTAGTAAATCTAATAACTGTCTTTGGTAAAGGAAAATACACAAATACCAAAGTATTTTTGTGATTTTGGTTTGTAGCTCGATTTTTAAATTTTCTACAGGATTTAAAAGAAAGATGCATAAAATTACAAATCTATTTTAATGGTACATAGTATATAAAGATATAATTTGTGACATCAATAACATAAAGTGAGGGAAGGATGAGTTGTAAAGAAGTAGAGCTTTTTTTTATGTGATTGAAGTTAAGTTGGTATGAATTTAAGACATGCTGTCATAATTTTAAGATGTCATATGTAATTCCTGTAGTAAACACACCCAAAACTCTATAGAATACACACAAAAGAAAATGAGAAGGGGACTAAAACATGTCACTACAAAAATCAATTAAATTCATTAAGATAGACTGTATTCTGGGCCATAAAGCACATCTTTACAAATATAAAAGAAGATAAATCATACAATGTCTGCTCAGACCACAGTGGAATTAAGCTATAAATAAATAATAGAAAGATAACTAGGAAATCCCAAAATCTGTGGAATTTAAATACTATCAAAGATATGCATGAGTGAAAGAAGAAATCTCAAGAGAAATTAAAAATTATTTTGATTTAAATGAAAAGGAAATGACAATTTATCAAAATTTGTGGGA